GAACCCCCAGTTACTTGTGCCTCTACTGGTGACCGGGCTTGTCGTTTCCCGGAGCCGTATAGGTACAGAGTTGACGACATTTCGAAGCCTGTGCACCAAATCGGGTGTGATACCAACAGAGACTTTCCTTGACCACCTTGGGATCAGCAGCAGGCTTCCGTGCTCCAGTGTGAAGAAGCTTGAGGACTTTATTGAGATCAGATCTGATTGATGAGATTTCTGCTGACTCGGGTGTTTCAATCTGGGCAATGGATGGGCGAGCATCGGTTAGCTCTATCATTCCACCAGCCATCAATGCTAAGTCAGCCAACGGTTTGTCTGGATGTGATAACAGACCAATCTGGACATTCAAAGGCAGGTGCTGTAGAAAAAGCTCACGTAGAAGCTCTTTGTCGGATGTACCATGTAATTGTTGTAAGAGCGTCGGAGCAGTTGCGATGGTTTTCGGTCCCCTAACTCTTCAGCGTGTAAGAGTTATTGGATCTTTCGACGCTTGGAAAGGGACACTCGCTCGGTGAGTGTAGCTTTAAGTACGTCGAACGGATTCGGTCGAAAGGATCAGGTCGCGAACTTCATTTTGCAACTTCGGGCGATAAAGCCGCGACGACATGAGCGAATTTGGTACCTTGTGATGTGATGTTCACCGTAAATTGCGCTTCGACTTGTGCAAACCAGAGCTCTGGGTCGGAAGGCCAAAATGGCGGAATTTAGCTGCCACCGCGTTCGTAGCTACGACGTTCGTAGCGGCCGTAGGTGGCGGAGTTTCGTTCGACTTGCTTGATGAAGAAGGAGTCGTCATAATGATGAAGTAAATACGGGGTCACCAACGTAGAATTCACACTGTATATAGTATAAAATATCATTATTTTATCAACACACTTTGTTTACTTTCTACAAATATTTTTCGATCGATCGAGAGACCTAATATCGCTGTAACATAAAGTTTATCATAAATTAGTTCTGTCTGACCAAGCCGCTGACCAGGTTATATTTTGTCCCTACAAAGTATTTACATTAGGAAATGGTAGCGACACAGGACGTAGCGCCAATTGATTACAGCTACCATATATTAACAACCTATCTTGGTTTTTCAAATTAAGTGAGACTGTTGCGGCAAGCATGGGCTTGCTGGAACAAAGCAACTAAGCAAAAAACTATATTCACACAAGCAAATCTAATAGTCATGCCACCTAAGAAACATTAATTGATCGAGCCATTTGATGTTTAAATGCGTAAACAAATATTAGATACAAGATATGGTCATGTAGACTTGGATCAAGTCCATCTCTCAAGAATCCGACTCACTGTCCGAGGGATCGGGCGCGCGAGGTGCAAAAACGCGGGAAAGTTTGAGGGAGGAGACGGACTTGGCTCACCTGCAAGCGCGCCAAATTTACCGACCCGTTTTTCCGCCGGTAATACGTCATAACTAGATTGCAATAATGTATGCTAATTGCAATAAAGCTGAAATAACAAAGTATCTTGTTTCAAAATTAATATGTAGCGTTTCTGTCTCTCTTCGTGTCTGAGTTAAAGTCTCTGCGACGGAGGTTGGTTTAGTTTATACTTACATGATGAATTCGATTCGAGATGGTATTATTTATGGTTTGCGTAAACTTGAATACGATAAAGTTATGGACAATCAGCGAAGAGTTTATGTCGAAACCTATGTGGCTGGTCGAGATGTCCTTTATAATATAAACTTATGGTTGCTCCAACTGAGTCAGGGAAGAGTTCATTTTTCAAATAGACCCCTTCGTCTTTGACTTTATAAGCCATGCTTCGATCGAGATAGCGGTTATATTAATGACTGATCACTTAATACGATCAGTATAAACTACACAACAGACACATAAGGCCAATGGAAGTGTGGTATCAGTTTACCGTCACCCGCGCGCGTCTATTTTAGGCACCCGCATGAAATTTTTCATTATTTCGTGATTTTTTCATTATTTGTCAAATTTGTATAGGAAGTGTTTCAAAAATGGCTTTCTGTTGAAATTATTGGAAAATACTGACTTTGTTTATACAGTTAGCGAAGCCATAGCCTGCGTAGCGAAGCCCACAGCGAAACGGAGTCAAAGACATATAGCTGATAGCTCGGAAGCTAGTAAAAAGCTCAAGAATCGTCAAATTTTCATGGACTTTTTCGGTTGAAATTCAGATTTTTAGCTCAAAATTTGACAAATTCAAATCGTGAAAAATAATGAATAATGAATAATGAAAAAAATCCGCATCTACTTTTGAAATTTTAGGTGACAGTAAACTGATACCTCACTTCCATCATAGTTAATTGAGGAGATGGTTTGGAAACTTATTAGCATTACAATAAGCCTCACTATCTATGTTTTTGTTCAGGTTTATGCAAAAATGTGGTCTTTCATCGTGACGTGCGTATTGTATTTTTACTCAACCAGCCAATAGCGGCGGTTTTGTCCAATTGCCCATCCATGACTTTAACAATAAGACATTTTGAACATTCCTATTGGTTGACTTGAGAAAAATACAATACACACGTGACGATGAAAGACCACATTTTTGCATAAACCTGAACAACATAGATAATGCAGGGACCGCGGACCACATTTTTGACAGCCAAAATTATTAAAATAGAAATCTAAATGAAACTTTCTAAATTAATTAAACCTTTTCTAGGCATTTTTAACTTTCGCATCTAATTAAAATGAATAAAGGCTAAGCACCCCATTATGTGTACCTTACATGAAGTTCCCTTCAACACAGCCACGTGCTCCGAAACGAAATTATTATTTATATTCATATGGTTTTTGCAAAGTTTCCGCAATGGAGTTGAAACTGCCTTTATTTTTGAATTTATAAACAACAAATCAATTTATAAACAACACATTTTATCGCTTACGTTTGTTTCAAAATCAATATCAAAAAGTTTGTTTATAAAGATTTTTATTTTTGTTGTGTTAAGTTTTTTAAGGAGGGC